GATTTGGTTCATGTGGTTTCATAATTTCTGTTTTAGCAGAAACCTTGCATCAAAGGGATACAAGTAAGGGCTCATTCTGCAAAATAGAGCAATAAAGTGCTCTAGATCGCGAGACTGGAAAGGAGATAGCTAAGAGTCTGTCTGCTCCAGTCTTGTTCCCCCTAAGTAGCCCCTGAGCATTTCCCGCTTTCAATGCTGGGGCTGGGGAGCAAGCTTGGAGCATCATGGGTTCGAATCTGCTCCTCTCATTCCAGGTGTTGGGCAGCGAACTTCAACTTCTTCTATCCCATCGTTTTCCGTTGTGGGCCATTATGGTGTGGGATTAAATTTATTAAATCCAAATGAGATCAGAACATCAGACTAACTCCCTATTATTACCATTATATCACATCCAGGTCCCTCACTTTTCTGTGGAAAGAAAATGGACACGGCACCGAGAGAGCAGTGGCACGGATTAGGGCTAGAAGTGTGGTTCTCCTGGCTCCAGATGGAAGGTCCTCCACTCATTCAGCGAGTCCTCCTCTCTGCCACAGCACTGTGCTCCGCCTTGGAGGAGCACCTTTGTGAGCCGGGTCTAGAGCTGGACTCTAGGTCCGAACTCTACTCCTACCTACTCGTGGCCTCTGGCTGAGCAATACTTAACCGTCTCCAGCTCAGTTTCTTTATTGTGCAATTCAACCATAAGTAGCATCAGCCTATGCGCATAGGGGCGTGATGGATCCAATGAGTTAGTCATGAAATAGTGTAGTACATGCCCTGGCACCATATAACTGTTACTGCATCATATCATCAATCTTCGTCATCAGTCGATCAATCGTACAAAGTAATAGTAAAACAGATCAGACAAGGTCCCTGCTGACAAATGAATTCCAAAACACAATTTTTAAAAAGTAGGAGGATGTGTATTTTTCTCCCCTGCACTTTTTGAGTTTCAGTGTCAGAGGAACAGAAAGGCCTTCTGAGCATCGGACGAGTTGGTAATATAGAAACACTACAGTCTGAATTCAGTTTGATCCTGTGGCTTTCAAGTCAATGGCTACTCGTTTTCCTTCCATGGCAAAGAGCAGGTTATTCTTGTGAATTTTACAAATATTAATATTTGTCAGAGGCTACTATGATGATTAGCTAATGTGGGGGACAAGGACACAGAAGCAGAGGACCTGCCCCACGAAGCTTGGGAAGGGAGGGTGGTCTGGGAAGAGAGGCGAGATAGGTCTTTAAGAGCTTCCACACCAAGGGAGGCCAGGGAAGAGAGGTCTGAGCTCAGTGCTACAGGCGGCGGAGGTGACAGCCCACTGAGGGAGTCAGAGTGGCTTTGAGGAGGAAGTGGTGTTGGAAATGGATCGGAGGATGGATAGGATGTCAGCAAGTGGGGATGGAGGCGTGTAGAATATGAGAATGGAGGTGGTGTGAGCAGAGGCAAGAGAGAACTGAGTGCAGGGTGTGGAATGGCGGGGGTCCGGTTTGGTCAACTGTAAAACAAGACAGATCATCTTCCCCTGCCCGCTAATTCCATCTCTTGGTGACAAGTGCCACCATCTACCTTTCACCTTAACAGACACCTGCACAGGCTCCTGGATCCCTCCTTGTCTCTCCACTCCCTGACCAGACCCCGCCCACTCCCAGCCTGCCATCCACTGCTCTCTCTCTCTCCACCCCCTTTACCTGGATCCTTGGCTAGACCACCACCAACTCGCTTCTGATCTTCTTAATGAACAGCCTCACAGCTCCATTTTGATTCTTCATAACAAAGCTAGAGTGATCTTGGTAAACAAGCACTTAGATCCTTTGAAGGGTTATCTTAAAATCCTTTCCTCAAAGACTCTTTCTCTGAGCCTTTACCGATCTAAATCAGATAACCTGGTTATCCCTGTCATAGTCTCAACTCTTCCTTCCTCACCTTCATCTAAGTTTTTAGCCGTACATTTAGGGTGGGACTATTTGCATGAGGGTTGGGACCGTGGCTGTGTGGATCTCACTCTGTTAAGTAGCACCGGGCCTG